AGGTAACACGCCGGGCGGCCGGAGTCCGAGGGTCTCGGCGGTGCTGCAGGAGCAGGTGGTGCCCGCGGCCTGGGGCGGCCATGCAGCCTGCCTCTCTCAGCTCTTGCTGCGATTTCCGTGTGGCCGAGGCTTCTGGGTAGGAGTGTGGGCGTCTTTCTGTGTGACGGGCAGGATGGGTGTTTCAGGCAGCCGGAGGCACCACGGAGGGACAGCCGTAGCTGTTACATGGCAGGGAGGGGGTCACAACTCTAACTGGCCCCTCCCTTTGGAGCTCCCTGCTCCCCGCCTACACCAGGCTCTCTGGGGCCCTTGGTGCTGCAGCTGCCGCCCTCCTGCAGGCCACCCCCTGCTTTTCCCCCGATGGGGCCACTTCCCGTGCGCCCTTTTCTCTCGCAGGTACGAATGGCTGTGAGTGTCGTAGGCTCCCCGCTCAGGGGCTCAGGGTCATTCTGAGGAGTAGGGAGCAGAGGCCCTCGGTGCAGGCATCTAGCCGGCTGTGGCGGTGCCCGTCCCGTTCCGGCAGTCTCCGGTGCACCACGGTGGTCCTCAGGCAGCGGGCTGTGCTGCCCGGCGTGTGTACTCGACAGTTGGAGAAAGGTCGCGGTGGAGGCGCTGGGCCATGGGCACGGCAGCCACGGCACTGGCATCTGCTGCCCAGGGAGGCCTCGGGCTCGCCCTGGGATGGAAGGAGAGAGCCGTGAAGAACAGACTTTTTGTCTCCATCTCGGAGTGGACACATGACCCCTCTCCTGGTGTGAATTGTGTGACTAGGCGCTTCTTCAGCGCTGCACCTGGGGGCGTCTGGGCAGGGCAGCAGGCTCTTGTCCTTTGATGCACAGCCATGTGACCACGTGGCAGGGCCGGGGCTCCTCGCTGACGTCAGGGCTGAGCGCCAGGCAGCGCCCCCCCAGCCGCTCCCGCAGACACATGGCCGTTTGATGTGGTCTGCTGGGGAGCTTTCGCTCCCGGCCGGGGACGGCCACTTGATTGGCTGCAGTGTCGGGTCACAAATGCCGCGTTTGGAGGGAGCTGGCAGCTCACATCAGCTACCTCCGTGATGGTGCCTCCTGAGTGGCACCTGGGGGCCCGGCACTCCACCTAGGCATCCGGGCCTGGGTTCAGGGTGCCCCCAGGCCTCGATCGCCTGCAGCCCAGGCCGTGCACACGCCCCTCTGCCGTCCTCCTGTCTGTGTGGGAAGTCCTTGCGTGCAGAGCGCACCTCCTCCCACCGTCCGTGGGCTGCGGGGACAGTGTGCGAGACAGGACCCGAGGGCCCAGTGGCAAACACGTTCACGTTAGGCCTGTCGAGAAGCAGAGGAGCAGCCTTCATTCCAGTGCACACCGCGGCCGGGCCTCGCCGGGTGCCCAGTCCCCACGGCTCAGGGTTCCTACGACTGCTGCTCGTGGAGTGCAGACACTGAGCGGGCGAGGCCTGGGCCCTGTGCGGGCTGCGACTCACACTCCGCGCCTTCTCCTCAGGTCAAGCGTTCCCGCAGCAAGGGCGGCCTGGCCGGCCCCGACGGCACCAAGTCAGTGTTCGGGCAGCTGTGTGCCAGGATGAGCGCGTTCAGCCCCGACAGCCTCCTCCTTCCTCACCGCGTCTGGAAGGTCAAGTTCGTGGGTGAGAGCCTGGGGCACTGGGACCCGGCCCGGAGGGCTGTCGGGCCTGCACGCGGGAGGAGCAGGGAGTGTGTTACCAGGCCCAGGCCTCTGAGCCCTGCTCGGCTCCGCTGTCCTCAGGCGAGTCCGTGGATGACTGCGGGGGCGGCTACAGCGAGTCCATCGCCGAGATCTGCGAGGAGCTGCAGAACGGGCTCACCCCCCTTCTGATCGTCACGCCCAACGGCAGGGATGAGTCCGGGGCCAACCGGGACTGCTTCCTGCTCAGCCCGGCGGCCAGGGCGCCTGTGCACTGCAGCATGTTCCGCTTCCTGGGTGGGTGCCCGTGCTGCTGGGCCGTGCTGCTGGGCATCCTTCCTAGCGAGCTCAGTGTCTGCTGTCCGGAGCCACAGCGGGTATCAGGGGCCCTGCTTTTAGCTTTTGAGACTCTTACCAAGACAGCCATGAGCCCATTTCTCTCTTTTTATTTTGAGAGAGATTTTTGCTGTAGGGCGTGTGTGCTTGCCATAGAGACAGAGAAAAACAGAGAGACAGACAGAGAAACAGAAAGCGAGAACTCACCCCCAGGGGGGATGGCCATGCCACAATCCCTTCTCCTCCATATTCCTCTCGGGATCTTAGGCACACATGCACACGCACCCGGTGTGAGTTTAAGTGACCGGGTCTGGGATTAGAACCGCAGTCGACTACGTGGGAATCCAGCGACATAGCCATTACACTTACTGCTGGTTCCTCTCTTTTTTCTTTTTTTAAATGTGAGCCGTGAAGGGGAGGGAGGGGAGGCAGAGAGACAGAAGCGGGCATTTTGCACTGGCCATCCTCCTGCCCCCGCCCCTGCTGAGTGAGGTCGTGGGCCTGTACCTCTGTGCCAGATGTGTTTGGGGTGGTCTGGAAAGCAGACCTGGGCCTCTCGGTCAGCTCTCAGCCTCCCATGCAGTGGGACCCCGAAAGCGGCCTCTGATGCTCACCGAGCATCTCACGGTGTTACAGATGTGCAGTGGGTACTGCAGCTGGAGGGCACTGTGGCGCTGCGGCGGCCAGCAGCCAGCAGTTGGACGTGGCCGCCACCTGCCAGTGCTCAGCCGCCGGGACTCGGTATCTGGCAGTCTGCGGCTGCGTGCTGTGGGCAGGGCTGCCCGTGGCAGTTGGGGCCTGCTGTTAGCCAGTCCCTGCCTCCTGCTCGTTCGGGGTCTGCACCCCAGGGTGGCCCCCGTTCCCAGGCAGAGTGCCCGGGGACGCTCCGGCTCTGCTCTGCTGTGGGAGGAGCCACAGTCGCCTCTGTGGGCAGGACATGTAGACCTGGACGTTGGCGTCCGGGAACGGAAGGAGGCGGGTACCGAGCAGGACAGCCGCCGACATGTACCAAGGCCACGAGGTTGGGGACTGGGTGGCACGGCACCGAGGCCTTGGCGCAGAGCTGGTGCTCCGTGGCGTCACTAGAGGAAGTGCTGTCCTTGACGCCGAGCATCTCTGTCACTTGCGTTTGAACAGGTGTGTTGCTGGGCATCGCCATCCGGACTGGGAGCCCCCTGAGCCTCAGCCTCGCAGAGCCCGTGTGGAAACAGCTGGCTGGGATGAGCCTCACCATCGCAGACCTCAGCGAGGTGACTCACCAGGCAGGGCAGGGTGTGGCAGGCCGGGGTCCCGAGGGTTGTCCCAAGATCCAGGCAGCCTCTGGTGTCAGGCCACCTCTTTTCTGTGGGTGCCGAGGCTGCGGACCACCCGCCTCCTGTGAGCGGCAGAGGTCTGTGGCCAGTTCGCATCTAGAACGTGACAGGCCATCTGTGGTGGGCAAAGGCAGTCCCGTCTTCCCTGAGAAAGGCTCAGCTTTAGGCAGTCAAGCAAAGCCTTGGGCTTGCAGAGAGGCCATGTGGACCTGGCGGTCCCCCAGCACACAGAGGCAGCACGGACCTGGGCAGCCAGGCAGGCTGTCCGCATGGCCACTCAGTGGCACTGTGGGTGCACTCGCAGCCTGGCTAGCGCCCTGAGGCACACCAGGGCCAGCACGTGACTGACGGTACTAGGGGCTTGGCGTCTGTGGTACGGGAACAGCCCTGACCCAACACCTGGGCTCTTGTTCTCCTCGCAAGGTTGATAAAGACTTCATCCCTGGGCTCATGTACATCCGCGACAATGAGGCGACCTCAGAGGAGTTCGAGGCCATGAGCCTGCCCTTCGCGGTGCCGAGTGCTGGCGGCCAGGACGTCCAGCTGAGTTCCAAGTACACGCACATCACCCTGGACAGCCGTGCCGAGTATGTCCGGCTGGCCATCAACTACAGGTGTGAGCCCGCCCGGCCTGTCGCTTCCACTCGCTAGGTAGCCGATGGTGTGGCCAGGCCCGCCTGGAGGTCTGCGCTTCCCAGGAGCGTGCTGCCCAGGAAGGTACTATGGGCTTGGCGCCGACTGAAGCCAAGCTGCAGTAGAGCAGCTGCTTCCGGGGCCGGGCGGAGAACTCACTGCTCTAGTCCGAATTCTGACCCTGACGAGGTACAGGTAAATGAGGCCTGCTGTTGGGAGCCTGCCGCACAGGCCGGCGGCCATCTGTGTCCCTCGGTGCTTTCTCTGTCAGCTTTCCCAGGACAGGGAGCCCCCACTGGGCTCATGTGGAGAGGCCTCAGGTGCCAGGGCTCAGGCGGGGCAGGGCAGGGCAGCGTCACCACGTGCAGCACCCACCAGCAGCCACTGCCATAGCCAGTGCCCATGCCCGCAGCACCAGGCGGTGTCTGGGCAAGGTCTTCCATGCCTTGTGAGCCGTGCTCGCTGGGCCCAGGGTGACGTGGTCCTGGCAGGCCCGGATTGGCCTTGAAGCCTGATCTGCAGCCCCAAGAGCTGTAAGCAGCGTGTGTCCCAGGGCTGACGGGTGTCTCAGGCTGGGACAGCTGGGAGTGATCCTGCTCCTCCTCAGAGTCGAGGGGACTGCGTGTCGCTGTCGGCAGTCCCGGAGGCTATCCTCCCTGCCATTCTGCACGAGCACCGCGTGGGAAGCTCAGTCTCAGAACACACATGTGTGTCAGTTGAAGCTGCTGCGCTCAGCCCTCAGCTGGGAAACGGGCCTCTGTGCGGTGGCCAGGCTTTGTCGGCAGGGCAGATCTGCACAGTCAGAGACAGGTGGCAACGAGGCTTTCCTTTCAGGCTCCACGAGTTCGATGAGCAGGTGGCTGCTGTTCGGGAAGGGATGGCCCGCGTCGTGCCCGTCCCCCTCCTTTCCCTGTTCACCGGATACGAGCTGGAGACGATGGTATGCCACTCCCGCCCTGGAGCTGCCCGCAGTGCAGGGACCCTCTAGTCAGGACCCAGTCAAAGCCTCACACTGGGAGTCGAAGCCGTCCTGGTGTTGAATGGGACGCCGTGTCTCCCCGGGGTCCCCCCACAGGTTAGGGCTCAGGGCCGTGAGAGTGGCCCCCAGCCCTTCCTGGCCAGGGCGGCCGGGGCAGAGGAGGCACGGTCTGGTCAGTTCTCGCTGAGCTGCACACATGTCCTGCAGGTGTGCGGCAGCCCGGACATCCCGCTGCACCTGCTGAAGTCGGTGGCCACGTACAAAGGGATCGAGCCCTCTGCCCCCCTGATCCAGTGGTTCTGGGAGGTGATGGAGTGCTTCTCCAACACCGAGCGCTCCCTCTTCCTTCGCTTCGTGTGGGGCCGGACGCGGCTGCCCCGGACCATCGCCGACTTCCGGGGCCGAGACTTCGTCATCCAGGTGGGCGTCGCGGGCTCTCGGTGCGGGCCGGAGTCCGCCGAGGGCCCTCCGTGTGCACAGTGCCGCCGCGGGCTGGAGGCAGGGCCCTGGGCTGTGGAGGCCGAGGGAAAGGCTTAGAGCACGAGTGCGGGTGTGGGTGCGCCCGCCTGCTGTGAGCCACCGGCACTGCCAGTGCGGGGAGGCAGGAGCTCGGTTCTCTGGCCAACAGGTGAGTCTTTGTTACACAGCGGCTGCTCGCTGGGAGGAGCCGGACCACGTACGGCTGCAGTGGGTGCTGCACGTGGTGACGCGGTTCTGCTCTGGGTTCTGACGTAGGTCCCTTGGCTAGGCAAAGGTCAGTTTACCTGCTGGGTCACTGTCATGGCATGACCCAATACCCCCTGTCCCGAGACCCTGGTAGTGATTGGGTCCCTCCCCACCACATGCTCAGGAGGTCTGTGGCTCCTTCCGAGCGCAGCCTTGCTGGGCTCTGGCCAGGGCTGGGCACTCTTTCAGGGAGATCTCAGAGCCCGCATCTCCAAAGCTAGGCGGCTCCTGGTGCTGCCCACACTCACGCGGCTTCCTCCTGTCTGTAATGGCAGAGAGCTAGCACCCAGGAGCCCGCGGTTCCCTGCTGTGCTGCAGGGCTGTGTGGAGCCGGGGCCTCATCAGGGTCGGACCGCTAAACAGATTACGGGAGGCAATCACTGTTTCTTTTTCTTTTTTTTTTTTGAGAGGTTTTTGCTATAGGGCTCGCCAGAGAGACAGAGAGATAGAAAGTGAGAAATCACCCCCCTGGGGGGATGGTCATGCCGCAATACCTTCTCCTCCATTCTCC